ACCGTGAGATTTTAAAAACTATGGAATCAGATTTGTGCCAATATTATCGAGCAAAACTTTTTTGACATCAAGCAAAAACAAGGCTTCAACAAGAAAAAAACTAACTGAAGCAAGAAATGTCATCTCAAAAGTAAAATTTGTAACTTGCAAACACATGATTGGTCTTTTGATAATGTTTTCCTTTGTTTATGCTGCCAGCTTCCTCGCTTGCGCTGCCTGACTTTTTGTTTACAATTCTGACACAAACGTCTCTCGTGGGCGGGTTTTTTCAGGGACGCGTCCCCATTGGCTAATAAGTATAAATAAATGTGTTAAAGTAGATTAATTATTCTGTGATGTCTAAATTGTATAAAAAGTTAGGCTATATGACATTTGAATGGGCTATACCTAGAGGCATGAGCGCATTATGAGAATGAGTAAGACGGTGCGATCCATGTTTTGCCCCAGGGCCTTGTGTGCAGTTGTTCCGCCACTGGTCACAGGGATCCATAGTCTATCCCAGAAGCCATGGATACAAAGCAGACACTGACCCTTGATGGGGTGCCAACCCACCCACCATTCACACACACATTCATGCCGATGGACAATTTGGCAACTCAAGAGCGTTTAATTTAATTAAATTTGGGATATTGTGTGACATAATTTGGGCTGCTATGGTAACTGCAGTGCTGTTTTATGCCAAACTTACTGCCCGTGAGACCTGATGGCTTCCAAGGAATTTTACCAATGTCCTTACTGTTGACCAGCTTTTGCTTACTTATTTTTAATATTAATTTAAATATGGATTATTCTATAATAAAATGGATCAGTCTAGAATAAAGGTTTTACCCAATTTTCATGGGAATTCTCATGAAAAAAAACCCTTTATATCCTGAAGATTCTTAACAAAATCATAACATAAACACAAATAAACTAAATGAGCTATCTAGCAGGTTCAGTTATTTGAGAAACATATAGATGATACATTTCTATGCCTTGATGGGCATTTTAAATAGGATATTCATCAGAAGCCTTAAGTTTTATTATAGTTACCCAGTGACTGCAGGACCACTGACTGGAAGAAACACTGGGGTCTGACACTACTGACACCACTGGCCTGTGGTTAATTAATCACTGAGAAGCACAATCGACCTGAATGCAGGTCAGCTTCTACTGGAAAGAGGATTACTGTCCAGGTAGGAGAAAGGTCAGCAACTTAAACTGGAAGAGAAGTCCTATCTTGGACGAATATTGAAGTGTGACCTGTGGGCCAAACAGTTGATTAGACTGCATGCCACATGACCAGCTCATTTTTGATGTGGCCAATCTGTCTTGGAGTTCATGCCAGTTTTGGCAGCCTTCAGTGTTTCACTATATGTTCTACTGCAGTAAGGCTAACGTGCTAAGAGATCACAGGGCACATTGTAACGGCCTGGCTTTGGTGTCCTGGTCTAGGGCAGCCATTCTATTTAACTGAGTTAATTTACTTGCGAGAGACTTAGCTCACCTGTGTCTGTGGATTTAAAAGGAGCATTTTAAATGCGCTATTTCCTTCTTTGTCATTTGTGGTGGAATGGGTAATTTTCACAGTATTTAAATTGTTTTCTCAGCTCCTATCACCCTGACAGATTGAGTCAACACGTTGATTCACTGGTGTGTTGTGCCTTGATCTCGCCAGCAGAGGGTGCCTTGAGGTTACGTCAGACTTGAGTGTTCCAGTTCATCTGCCTCATACTTTTCACAGTGCATATCCTGGATGAGATGCCAGTTCGCCAGCAGACACACACTCACACACTAAAGGTATGTTTCAGCACTGTGAGAGAAGTGCCATACAATCCCAG